CACTGGTATATCCGCATTGACCATTGAAGTCACATATCGCTTTAGAAAACTATTTAAAAGCATGCCGCACAAATTGTCTTTTTTTTATACCGAAGCAGCTGCCGCTATGCCGCTATTGGTGAGATATGTTCGTACCACATCCAGCCCTCGGTGATCTGGACTCCGACCAGCCGAAATGAATGGATCTTTGGCAGAACACGGCCATCCATCGAAACCGGATGAGCGCTATGACGCTTTTTGTTCGTCAATGTACAGTACTGTGTTTGGGAAGCATTAAACTGTACAAGATTGTTGCGTCACCAAGCAGTGATAACCTCCAGGTCTCTTGTGAGAGAGGAAGTCGTCGCTAACCTTCTTTTTTTAAGTTCAGCGGCAAAGATCGGCTTTTCACTATGAATTCCTGCATGTAGAGTGCATCGTTGATATGTAAGAGGAACAGTGTCGGAGCCAAGATCGATCCCTGGTGAACACCCGAGTTGACGTTGTGGGATGAAGAGGAGAACCTGTCAATTGCGACGGATACTCCACAATTGCGTGACGTAAGCTAGGAGGTCTTCTGTGGATCGTTGGTGCCGGAAACCATACTTCCTGCCGCTAATCAAGCCGTGACGTTCGAGATAGTCAAGAAGCTCGCGATTTAGGCACCTCTCCATCACCTTACTTATAACAGAAAGCAGAGCTATAGGCCTGTAGTTGTAGGGGTCGGTCTTAGATCCGTTTTTTTAAGATGGGTTGGACATGAGCAAATTTCCAGTCTTCTGGGAAGGTGCCGGATTCATAAGATATCTGGAAGAGACGTGAAAGAACTGGAGCAAGCTTTGCTGCACACCTCTTCAGTACAATGGCAGAAATCAAGTCCGAACCAGAGGATTTGTTGATATCGAGCAACAAGAGCACAGGTCTTACGGTTTTATGCCTGAATGTTACTTCCCGCATAGTGTAGGAAGCCCTTCGAATCGACGGCACTTGCGCGTTGGGTGGAGCTGGCAGCAAAGATCTTGGCAGGCACTTCCGCCATAGCCTTTGAGTCGGCTACAGTCGTTCCATCCTGACACGTAAGTGGTGGAAGGCTACTGTGTGAGAAGTTATTTTCAATCTGCTTAAAGGGAACACTCCATGGCCGCAATATTTCTCGTAGTGAACTTGAGAATATTGCCCTTCATGATTATGTTACCACACACATATGCATTATTTCCAATAAGAACATCAAATGACTATTGTACTCCGAAAGCCTATAAATTCTTCAGAAAGTGAACGAAATCTCTTCTTTGAGATTGCCGTTTCTGCCAGCTTAGCGCGGCACGCCTGAAGTGTGAAATTGCATAATCGCAGCTCCCAAATACAATTATATATTGATAGCCTTTCGAAGATTCCTTCATTTCATTCCAGTTTAAGTTTACTCCTTAAAAGACCTACTCCTACATCAAGATTCATAGTTTTTTCATTCACAATATATTTCCGGAAATGATAAGCTTGTACGTGGATACCCTATTTTAAAATTGACCTAAGATGATAAAAGTTAGTTGTTACCCCAGCTGCTCAAACTCGTTTTCAGCCTCAATCTTTGGATAAAATGAATAGTGTCTAACTAAAAACCGACGTTCCGACGTTTTATTTGACATCATCCTCAGAGCACCAAGCACGTCGCAAGTCACATAAGTTATGAAAAAATCAATAAAAACGTGAAACACGAAAACAGAGACCATCAGCTGTACTGACTGAATCGGGCTCTGTGGGTTGGATCCAGCATAGCATCTCTTGTGACGTGTTTGATGCATCTCAATTGCCATGTGGAAGACATCAAACAAGCTTCGAATCATTGGCTTTTGGACAAGACGCATCCATAAACAGTATTTTATTCCACAGTCCGAAAAGATTTAGACTAAGGACTCGCAGGATTATTACGTAAAAAAACCTATATAATGTAAAAAAAACGACAAAATTTCAGCTTGCTGACTAGATAGCTCCTAGTGTGCAAATAGTTCATTCCGTTCTTGCGTCACCTATGGAGGAATAACTTAACGATATGATCAACGACCAGGCTGCAAGTCAATTCGTCACCATGTTTTGTTAGCTGCACAATGCCGAGATAGTCTGTAGAGTATATCTCTGAGAAGATGTGACACAAAGAAAATTGGTTAAATAGAAGTGTAGCAAGATCGCATCTAGACGATTGTGTCTATTGGTCTGCCTGTACAGGGTGACTTTGAAGTTGAGTCATTAATTTTCAGATAATGATTGTAGAAGGAAGATAAACCAGAATATGTGTGTAAAAATAAAAAAAAATTAAAAAAAATTTTTTACCTTGTTTTATAAAGTATCCTCCCGACAAGTATTTCAGTGCGGACCTGTATTTGATCGTGAGGTCCCCTGTGAGGTCTTAAGTCACCTGATTCACGAGCCCGTTGTACTACATTAACAAAGGCACGAGGGGTTGGTTGCACTCGATTGGGAAACCGATCCGCATAAACATGTGCCATTTTTTATTTCGTTTGAGCCACGCAACAGAAACTATTCACACGCTAACCGACAGATACTGACTGTATGTATAACTGAACTGAATAAAACACTTAATTGCAAAAACGTCGTTCCAAATTCTTTCGCTTTTTTGTTTCCGATGCGATGAAGCGGTAAGGCGGATTATATCCGTTGTTGCCAAACACGAGTACATGATATTATTATTGAGACAGGGCGGTAATCAAACTTCCAAAGGGCTATAACTTTGTTACTTTAATTTTACCAGAAAAATGGTAAAGGAAAAAAACATTTCTTTTGATCAGATCTACTCACTGTTAAAATAAATGACTCAACTTCGAAGTCACCCTGTATATGAAATAATGATTTGCTATGTTAGAAAATTATTACTGAATGTGCTGCCCATGAAGCATATTTATTAGCTATACCAGACGGGTTATTTGTGTTGTCCTCTCTGAAGAGAGGTTATGTTTAAAGGTGAAATCTACGATTTTCCTCGGATTAATGCGTTTTCAAAAACTTTGAGAAGCATTACTGGAAATCACAGCGTCGGCGTTGTCTGTAATTAAGAGACATCGTAGAAAAAAGGGAATGAAGCAGCACACACAAAACATTTTCACAATGCCTCACATCTAGGCGGTGATATGTATTTTCTACTTAACAACGCAAAAAAAATTTAAATGACCGGAAATAAGCAATAATGTAAAATGTAATAACCCTATAGCCTATTTTCTCACCTGTTAGTTGTAATCTACTTGACCAACCAAGGAATTTCTTTTTTCATCTCTCTCATCTTTGAAATTTAGCAAATTTGAATAGGTAATTTCCAGGATGGAGTAGGTCTATTTGAAACAAGAAACCAAAGAAATTATCAACCACACATATTATCAGCACACTCCTCACTAAGCACCTATGCTTTGCCGTTTCGCCCGTTTCCTTTCAGCTATAGTATACATATACAAATTACAGCTTCGACCTCTAATAATGCTATCTCTGAAGCAAACATTACATCACACCTGATCTAAACCATGATAGCTCAAGCGCCATGAAGTTTAGCGAGTGCACATTAATTGTCTACGTCTCGATGAATACAATGCATATACAATGAATTCAATGTATACATTGCGTATAAAATGAATACAATGTATACAATGATGAAGACAATGTATAGAATAGCATTAGTGAGGTTAGGTTTATTCGCAAACAGCAACGAAAGTTGGTAAACAGTGAAGCGACAACTTAAAAAAAAATATGGTTGGACGCTCCAAGAACAAAGAAATCGATCTACTAGGGTTCATTTGTTGTTTTTAATTTATTTAAAACTGTATCTTTGTATACGTATATAAATAAATATTATATATCTTTTCATTATCTACAAACTGCTTCCACAGTCAAACCAATAATGCAATGTTGTATCTATCCTGAACTTTTAGTTCCAAATAAAATCGGAAAACCATTAGGATCGATATGGAATTGATCCCAAACAGATTCGACAGAAATGTGTATTTGAGCGTAGAAAACAAGGCGTTGCAGCAAGTTAGAGTTGTGCCAGGCAACGTGGTGTGTGGCGCACTCTTTCTACACAAGTGGTGCCGCTTGTCCTCCTCTCTCTCTTCCTCGTAGACATGGAAATCTAAAAGAGAAAGGGACTTTCGCCAGCACTATATGCAAGTAGTTGAACTATGATTTATATACATTATATGGGTTAATATCCCTAACATGAGTCATCGTAAGTTCCTCTTAATAACTGATTTGTTATAATTTTTTCAATGTAATTATCTGATACGATGCGTTTGGCTACATATTTTTTACGGTTTGCACACTATATGAAATATTTATCTTCCATTTAGAACAAAATAACTGGGAAAATGCCACTGAAATGTCAGTCCCGTGCCATGTCCTAGCGGATGTCTCTTGATAATACCTGCCATTTTTTTCACCTGAAGTACTGTTTTGAAAACTTGATATACCTATATCGCAAGTATGCACATAGCTAACCACAATATAGAAAATTGGTGAAACAAAAAGAATAATTAATTTAGTAATTTTTCGGAAAGCATTTGTCTCCAGCTATCTGGCCAGTCCCGTGCCGCGCCATATATCACGCCATAAAGTAGTGGGGGAAGGTATGGTAAGTGACATCCGTATTATCCCAACTGGAAATTGTTAGTATTGGCTCAATCGTCGGAAGATGTGCACAGATTACTGATAGGTTAAGCAGGAACTGGGTCCGACAAGTAAAAAAGTGTCTTGGAAACCTGTCTCTTGTCAGTACCGTGGTAAGTGTTTTAAAGCTACTATTTTTTCTTTTTGCTTCAAATACCCCATGAGTACTTCGGGTATCAAAAACCATAATTGTCATACTAAAATTAATTAGAAATTTTGAACCGATTACTTTTTTTGTTGCTGTAAGTGCAATAATGTCAGTCCCGTGGTTGTAATTTTTTCTCTATAAAACTATAGCAAACATGCATTGATGCAAGTATTTTTTACAGTTCACAGGTCTATCTACTAGTCTATAGCAGGGTGTAAGATGTCTGGACATAGGAAAATATCTGATGAAGAAAGAAAGCGTATTAAACGTGACCGGGAACGAGAACGGAGGCGTAAAATAAGAGAAGATCCGGAAAAACGTGAGGAGCAGCGGGAAAAAGAGCATCAGAAATACTTGCGTCAACGAAAGAATAAACAAAGGAAGCTTGTTTCGGAAATGACAGAAAGAGAAATTAGATCGCAACGCAAGAAATGGACACAATATACAAAGTCTCACCGAGATCGATTAAGACTAAGATCATCCGAAAACGCACATGTGCCAGATCATTTAACGAAACAGTTAGATGGAAGAAAGGAACATGCAATAAAGAAAAGTAATAGAATGAAACTTAAGCGACATCGAGAAAAAAGAAAAAATGAAGCTAAAATAGCAGACCTTAAAAAAAAAGTTGGAAAGTGGAAGAAAAAGTATTCTCGCCTAAAGAAGTCAATGCATCAAAATAAAAATGTTGCTCAACAAACTAGTTCCCCATCAGTTTCACCTGGAACTAGAGTACAACAGATCATAGAAAGGTCTTCAATACAGCAAAAAAGAGTAGATGAAATTAAAAAACAACTTATTTTTGGGGAGACCATCAAGGACCAGCTGTCAGAGAGTTATAAATCGTTAAGCCCAAAAGAAAAGAAGGTATTTAGGAAAATAATGGATGGAAAAATTATTAAGAAGTACAAGCTTCAGCGAACGTGTTCCAAAGTTTTTCGATATACAAAAACAAGAGTAGTGGAATACAGCCATAGGAATGTAGATGTTAAGTATCAGAAAAACCGAAGAGCATCTGAAAATAGGAATAAAATTGTGGCGTTCTTACAGGAAGATGTTAATAGCCGGATTTGCCCCGGTAAGAAAGACTATGTTACAAAGAATAAATTCACCTATCAAAAAAGATATTTAACAAACACTTTGAAGAATTTGTTCAAAGAGTTTTGTAAAAAATACGCCGATGTCAAGGTGAGTTATACATTTTTCTGTAAATGTAAACCTTTCTGGATAAAGTTTATGTAATGTCTTAGTTGGTATCAATAATACCCGGAAGTATACTAATGGTTTATTATATATCACCGATAACTGTTACAAATACGGAACCCCGACATACTGTGTGTTCAACGTATCCCGGTGAGAGTACTCATCGTACATGCGCAATTTTCGGGGAACCAGGGGCGTACTTAATATACTACATTCATCTCCCCCGAAAATTGTTAACAGTGATCAGATGGGTAACAATAAAAAAAAGAAACAATTAATGAATGGTTAGTATTGGAGCCTATCCGGTACCTTACGGATACGTATGGGTCGTGTAAGTTCAGCCTGTTCACCAATGGAGCTAGAATCCGAGTCACTGACATCCACGCGTTCACTATCCGCGATTCCGGCATCCACAAACACATCATCAACCGAACTACCGGCAGAAGTATTGCTGGCGCCATCACTATTGGAAAAAACGTTTACAGTGTGCGGTAGCTCCACGCAGGGTGGGTAGACCAACGAATAATCATCATTTAATTCTCTGATCTGATTAGTATGTCTTTTCCAAAGGAAATTTGAATCTAGTGGTCGAACAACGTAAACGTTTTTCCCTAAAATTTTAACAACTTGTCCTTTACACCAAGTTACTTGTTTATCGCGATAATCTTTAACCAACACAATTTGGTCAATATTAAAACATACTTTCCTATTTCCTCTGAAGTATTTTGCGTTTCTTCGTTTGAGAACGTTGTATGTTTTGGTAAACATTTTCAAGTTCAACTTTTTCATTGTCTTGGACTGAGCTTGGTCTAAGCATGTCAAATCGAGTTCTCAACGAACGACCTAAAAATACTTTAGCAGGAGAATAACCAGTAGAACAGTGAACAGTATTCCTATATGTCATAAGGAATTGAGCTAATAGTAAATTACAGTTCTTTTGATCACTAACCTTTTTCAAAAAATTTTTAACAGTTTTTACGCTATTCTCAGCTGCACCATTACAATGAGGTTCATAAGGCGGAATAGTTATTAGTTTAATACCATTAACATTTGCAAATTGTTTAAATTCTTCTGACACTAACTGGGGACCATTATCACTTGCAATAGTCTTAGGCAATCCAAATCTAGAAAAAAGTTCTCGCAGCTTTGTAATAGTCATGTTAGTGGTAACAGATGCCATCGGAAATACTTCAAGCCATTTGGATAAGGCATCAACGACAATCAAAAAGAAATTGTTTTTCTTCGGTTCAAAAAAATCTATATGTATCTGCGACCAAATGCCCTCGGGTATTTGCCAACATTGTAACGGTGCCTTGGCCGGCGATGATTGCAAGCGTTGACATATGTTGCACTGCTTACTAACACTTTCAATATCATCATTCAAGGACGGCCACCAAAAGTAAGATCTCGCAAGATACTTCATTTTAACAATTCCCAAATGGGTAGCATGCAACTCCTTCAATATCACCTCTCGTAACTGAAATGGTATGATAACTCGATGTCCCCAAAGCAGGACATCGTCTTCAACATTGATTTCATTTTTCCTACTGAAATAAGGTTTCAATTCATTACTTTTATGACTTGCAGGCCACCCCTTTTTAACAAAATTGAGTACCTCAGAAAGTACTGAATCTGAGGATGTAAGTTCTCTGACCTTGTTAACATCGACTGGTATACTAGAATCGGAATTAGTGAGATAATTTAAATGAATGGGGAAGTCGATCAGTTGCACAGACATGTCATCTTCAATCGGCATTCTGCTTAAGAAGTCAGCTACATTTTGAATGGATGACACATGCTTGATATCAAAATTGAAGCCACTCAGAAAATGTGCATATCTCTGCAGTCTATTTGCTGCCATCACTGGAACACCCGTTTTAGGTCCAAAAATTGACATGAGTGCCTTATTATCTGTGACCAAGGTAAATTTTCTACCCCACAAATATTGGTAAAATCGTTTAATACTCCAAACAATCGCGGTAGCTTCTTTATCCAAAATAGAGTATGCCAATTCGTTTTTCGAGAGAGTTCTTGACGCATAACAAATTGGCTTTTCGACATCATTTTCAAAAACATGAGATAAAATTGCTCCCACTCCATAGTCCGAGCTATCAATAGTCAAAGTAACTGGTAGGTCAGGATTATAATGCACCAACACATCGTCAGAACATAATGCACGTTTAATATACTCAAATGAATCCTGACATGTTTTATCCCATGACCAACTTACATCTTTTTTCAAAAGATTATATAAAGGGTGAAGTATATCTGGGAGATTTCTGATGAAACGATTATAATTAGTGATACTGCCTAAAAAAGACTTAAGTTGAGTGACATTTTCTGGTGGAGAAATGTCGCGTATTGCCTTAACTCTTTCTAAACTTTTATGTAGGCCTGTCTCGTCTATAACAAACCCTAAATATGAAATGGAATCAGCCAAAAACACACACTTTTCTTTTCTAACAGTGAGACCACATTCGGAAAGACAAAGTAAAACCCTTTTCAAATTTCTAATATGATCTTCTTTATCGATACCTGTAACTAAAATATCATCAAGAAAAACACATACACGGGGCATTTTATTGAACAGCTGCTCCATAATTCTTTGAAATTGTGCTGGAGCGCAGTTTATTCCAAACGGCAATCTATTGAATTCGAATAAACCTTTGTGAGTCGAAATAGTCGTAAATTTTTTTGAAGAGTCCTCGAGCTCTATTTGATTGTAAGCCGATGAGAGATCAATTTTGGAAAATTGCTTTCCATTTTTCAGTTTTGTGAATAAGTCGTCAATTCTAGGCAAGGGAAATTTGTCCACTAGAATAGCTGAATTAATAGTTACCTTATAATCACAACAAATTCTTATTCCTCCATCTTCCTTCAAAATTGGTACTATTGGGGTACCCCATTCTGAAAACTCCACTGGAGATATTATACCATTAGAGACTAATTTATCTAATTCCTCCTCCACTTTACCTTTAATTGCAAATGGTAACGGTCTAGGTTTATGGAAAATGGGATTTGCATCAAGTTTAATATTTATGGAGATCTTACACTTGTTGAACCTTCCCAAATTGGTTGCAAAAACGCCAGGAAACTCATTACATAGAGCATCAACAGCATCGTTGTTCAAATAATGAATTTCTCTAAATCCCATATTATAATTCCTAATAAAATCTCGACCTAGGAGCAATGGATTATTACCATCAACAACAAAAAAGCGTAGGATGCTATCTTTGAAATTAAATTTAACATTTAAGTTGATTGTGCCATGTGGGATGATCTTATTGCCAGAAAAATTAATCAAGGAAACTTTTGTTTTTTTCATGACGTGAGCACCAAAATATGTTTTGTAAACATGAAGTGGCAAAACACTAACAGCTGATCCACTGTCAAGTTCAAATTTCAACATGACGTTCTCAACTAAAATATCGATATATAGTGGCACATCATTGTTGCTTCCTAAGCTAGAAATACTTAGAACTGTGGATGAAAGAACGTCTGTATAATCCTCAGCAATATCATTATTAGGAAAAACATAATTAACGTGCTTAGGTGAGGATTGTTTTTTCTTTTTACACACCACACTGAGATGACCCCTACCGTGACAAGAGTTACAAATATATTCCTTATAGGGGCATACATTACTGTTGTGGTTCCTCCCGCAGCGGAAACAGCCCGGAGAGCGACCAGACGATGTGAACTGCTGTAGCTGCGGCAGCGCCATGTTTGAGCTGTTGCCCCCACTCCTGCGCGTGCCTCCTTGGCTCCGCTGCGCTGCAGGTACTGCTGTCCCTCTATGATACCGTTGAGGATCTTGATGTTGATCGGCAGTGGCACCAACATTTGAATTATTTTGTGTAATTCGAAAAACATCGGATTCTAAGACCTCGCTTTTAACTTCACCAACTGGGTCTCTTATTACTAGCGTTGCTTCGATAATTTTGGCCTTTTCAACAGCGTTATTTAAGGTGGTGTTCTCGTTTAGGCTGAATAATTCAGTTCTCACCTTCCCAGGATTGAACTGCGTAACAAAAATGTCCGTTAGCTTGGACTCAAGCTGCTGACCAAAATTGCAATAGCGAGCTAAACCTTTAAGTCGTACACTCCATTCTAGTGCCGTCTCTTTTCCTGATTTGGATGCACTATAAAACTTCTGCCTTTCGACCCATACAACAGCAGTTTTACCATAGTAGTTAGACAATAACTGAACTATGTCTTGGTATGGGGTTTCTTCCGGCTTTTGCGGCATACATAAATTTTCTAATAAAATATACGCCTCCTCAGACAAACTATACAGCAAATGAGCTCTCTTGTCAGCTTCTTCAGTGACCCCGTGTACTATAAAATACTGCTCTAACCTTTTGAAGAAAACTTCCCACTCGTTCTCCTTGGGATTGAATGTGAGCACGGGACCCGCTGCTGCAACTGCCATCTTTCTTGTGCACAGATTGGTTCACCAACAACTGGAGGTTTCAACACAAACGGGGAGTTTACACACACTTAACCTCACCCGGCGAGTTCTTTAATAACCCTCGTCGCCATGTAATGTTTTAGTTGGTATCAATAATACCCGGAAGTATACTAATGGTTTATTATATATCAGTTTATGAAGGTAGCAAATCGAGACACATGTAAATGTATGACACATAGTAACATGGAGTTGATTGTATTATCTCTTTGGCAAAGTAAAGTGTTGCACTGCAAAACTACAGAAGCAATAATTGAGTCAATGACATGTGAGACCCGCAATGACCTATGTCTACTAAGGAAATGTTCAGTGTGTGCATTATATAAACCTAAATATATTGAGCAGTACGATCCTGGTAACGTTGTATCATATAGTCAGTGGAAAAACATAAAACAAACTTATTTCAGCAAACGATCACAAAACAACGTTACCAGTTTGAAGATTGCTAAGATTAGTCAAGAGATAGAAATATCGGATCTTTTGACCAAATTTGAAGATAGGTTGCCTCTTTTTTTGGCACACGAGGGACGCATTTTTCACCAATACAAAGCAATCAAGACACTGAAACAGAACATGACAAATGAGGAAATACTCATTCACTGTGACTTTTCTGAGAATTATAATCTAAAGTACGCAGAAGAAGTCCAGTCTTATCATTTTGGAGGATCAAGGCAACAGGTTACGTTGCATACTGTGGTAATTTATAGCCGAGCACACGAAAACGACTTGAAGGTTGACAGTTTTTGTACATTATCAGAGTCGTTGGAGCATGGTCCCGGTGCCATATGGGCTCATCTGTTTCCACTGATCAAACTCTATATTGATAATGGGGTAAAATTGTTGCATTTTCTTAGCGACAGCCCCAGTACACAATACCGCAACAAGAAAATGTTTGCATTCATTACAAATGGCATCTATAGCTACTTTCCGGAACTACAATCAGTTACCTGGAACTACCATGAGGCCGGACATGGTAAAGGTGCCCCGGACGGCATTGGTGGAGTTTGTAAAAGGACTGCAGACCGTATTGTTGCTCAGGGATCTGATGTGAGTTCTTTCAGCCAATTGGTTGAAATCCTGAAAGCCAACTGCTCGGGCATATCCTTTTTGGAGATTCATGCTTGTGAAATTGAAAAATTTTCAGATGCTATAAATAAAGCTGAGGTTCTGCCATTTAAAGGAACTTTGAAGGTTCGTCAAGTAAGATCTCTAAGAGACCACAACACACTATCTCTAAGAGAGCTCTCCTGTTTCGACTGCGGCGAAAGATGTCTACATTACACTATTGGAACTTTATCTTATAATTCGGTAACGAAAAGTTCTGCGTCTGATGAAGAATTATACATTTTTGACAAAGGGAATAAAGCGAAGCTACATTACTACAATGTTTACAGTGAAAGTTCTTCAGATGATGATATTCCTTTGTCCGAGTGGAAAAAAAATAGTCAATTAGCAGCAGAGTTTCCAAGTAGCCGCTCAATATAACGTTATGTTTTTGTTTCAGAATACATTGTTTGAGTTTATTTTGTACCTGAGTATTTTTTAATAAAAAATGCAAAGCATGTTTGCTATCCTGCTGTTTCTTTGTCAGTTCCGTGTAACCGTGTCAGTCCCGTGTATTGAGATTTTTGAAAAATGTTAAATAATTCAAAGTATACAAACTAAAATCTCGGTTATTGTATAATTTCCAAACAAACAAGCCATACTGCATTGAGTAAATGCACGGTCTTCTAAATACTAGATATTTTTTATGTGGCACATTTAGAAGACTTAAATGTCCCAGTGTGGGAATATTGACCCATATATTATATTTTATACATTGTATACGTGAATATCGAGACGTATATATACACCATTGTATACGCGTATACAATGGTGTACATTGTACACAATTATACATTGTGTATACAATTCGCCCTTATCTGCCCCTGACCTAACAGACCAATCAATGAACTTTACTAGTTGACCCAAACAAATAAATAAGTGGCGTTCTCAATTCGACAAACTCACGCCAGCAACCAAAGCAGCAGCCACAACTTATAATAGGATGGTCGGTTCATAAATATTTAATATGTGTATGTATGCGTCGAATTTCCAATATAGCGCTTTGTGCGCGTCGGTAATTTACATACATTTCCAGCTTCGAGCTTACTCAACACGTACTTGATGCTCACGCGGTCCCGTCTGGCGGATGCTTGCAAAGAATGGGAACCTCGTAGATGGAATATCTGAAGCGATTCTGTAATTACGAGCGTGTTTTCTTACCCTCAAATATTTCAAGTTCTGCCAGACGTGCTATGTGGGAAACTCATGAGGTGTGAAATTGCGGTGATGTGGCTTTTAGCCCTAGCTCTGCGTAGGCCAATATTATGTTATGTTGTCCAAATATTTGGAAGTGAACGGGTAGCGGATTCACGTTCTCTCTTCAAATAACTGCAAGGAGTTCCTAGAGAAAGTCCAATATTTAATATTGCAATATACTTAAATCATTGCAGTGCCATTTTCACGATTTCCTATAGCATTTCAATTTAAGCTCTTTTTAAAGTTGCATCTACTCCCAGGCACGAATGTTTGTCTCCTTTCAAGAGTTAATTCACTCTTAATCTTACTTCTCATGATCGTCTGTGGTAACTCAGATTTGTAGCATAATATATATAATATAAAAAAATATATGTCTTATGAAGAAATTCCTTATGAGAGATCGGCATGTCGACTACATGTTTTTGTCTAATGTCTACTTCTCATTGCATCACTCTGTGTTTACGGACTCGAACTCGCCATAAATAAAGACCATGAAGGTTCAATTGATTCATACAGTTTTTTTTTTAAAAATAGATTCTGGCGAGAGGTCTTGATACAACTATGTTCTTATTTAAGTTGTGTCTAGGGAACTTCTGTAGCCCAGCCCTACAAAATTGTCCAACATCTACACCAAATGCTTTAAACTGACTATAATTGGTGAGTCCATTTTTCTGTACATAGCATGATGTCACTGCAAAACTAAGATTTACCTGTATATTGATTTTCTATACCTCAAATCATTATTGCTTGAATCTATCATTTATAATGACCTTAGAGATCTGTTACATTTTTACAATAATTTGTTTTTATTTATTTTTTTTATATTATCTATGGATTGTCTGAAAGACTGCTGTTTTTATTCGCATGTTTCCTTGCACTCAAGTATTTCAGACGTGCTTTGTGAGAAATTCATGAGGTGTAAAATTCCGGTGATGCGGCTTCTAACCCTAGCTTACATCAATATTCATCAGTTGTCCTAATATTTGGTAGTATGGTAGTAAAGGCGTTGGTTGCAAATGTTCCTACGTAATGGATGTATTTCATCTTCCAAGTTCTGTAGTTGAGGAAATGTTTATACGCGTTTAGTCATCTATCAAATTTACGAAGGCTGAATACGTGGTAACCTCGGATCTTGTGATAAAAGGTTCAAAGAACAGTTTCAGAATATAAGCAAATAATTTATCGGCGATCTTAAATATGAGTATATATAAGTATGTATAAGTAATGACCTCAAATAACACCTACCATGTTTTGAAAGCAGCAATCAGTATGACCTACTATAAGGCATGGAAATTACACACCGAAGACTTGGAAACTACGCATTTTTTGAAAAAATAAGGCTTCCAGGATAAATAATCTCAAATATGATCTAGACGATCACCTTTGAGGTCATTTAAAGATCAAAATTGTAAATTCAAATAGCCACCAACATTTTTGACAGTGGACTTGTGTGGAGATCAAGATTTTACATCAGAGTGTATTTTAAAAAAATTTCCTTATTCGAATTCGTTGGTTGGAACTGTAGTTAGCGCTGAAAGCCAAGTTCCCTGGGACCGCTTGATGCTGTCGATTCTGGTGGTATAGTAGTTAATAGTCTACTCGCCATTGAAAGCTAATGATACAGCTTTTATTTAATTCACCAACCTCATACAACTGTTGTCACTCTGTCAAATATGAATGAAGGACACTCATACGTAACGACAAAGTTTTCGAGCCGGAGACACACAACTAAAGAACACACAGGGGTAGGTTGCATGTGTATGAATGAGAAATATGGAGATATATAAAGGGATACTGGTAGTCTGACTTTGACCCGCCAAGAATGGCGACTACAACTAGAGGTGGATTTTATCTCAAGGGTGGATATCTCCAAAAGTGAATAAGAATAAACTCCGCTTGTGTCAAAATAGATAAGGTCATTAGGAGTCAACTTTCTACAATAAAACCCACTTCTTGATACGGTCGTAGAAAATAATATGATTTGTACAAGCACTAACGCCCATTATTGCAATATCCATAATCCTGTTTCAA